AATTTGAATTGCAATTTCTTATTTTATACGTTTATACTTATTTTCTCCATAAATTTGCAGTTATTTTGCATAAATAGTAACTTACGTAACTTCTGTTGAATCTATGTCTGCTTCGTAGGCAGCTGCGAAGTCCTGGTCATACGTAACTTTCATGAATTACACTTCTTACTGGAGACATCTAAAATACTAAGTACAAAGATTTCTGCTAGAACAGCCCACAGACAATACTTATGCAAAATTTTTTTAAACTTATTTCACCCGGGAAGGGCTTTGATTAATGGGTTAACATTTTTTCTGTTTGCGAAGATTCACTTTCATCATGAACGACGCGAAGGAAACTCGTTTGAAGTCTAGAACGTGTGAGGTGACACTTAAAAAAGGGGAAAAGACTGACGAATGTACGGAAAGATGTCTGGTGCATGCATGTGTCGGTTTGGTAAAAGGAGGCGAAAGGGCTTGAGACGGTTGGGTGCATCAGATGCAGTCGTAGGTGCAAGTCGCGTACGCAGAAGGTGCATAAATACTACAGGAACCGGTTTCATGCGTTCTCCAGGCTCCGCGCATCGCGGTGGGTTGAAAAGGGGAGCTCAAAGGAGCATCACGAATTCGTGGGGTCGCCTTGTGTTTCTCTTGGCTCGTTACTCGAGATTCAGACAGGTGTGCGAATCTCTCTCTCGTTTTCTCTCCGTCTTGCCATTACTTCTCGTCTCTGAATCTTCTCGAGGGTTCTCGATTTACTTCAAAGCTTGTGTACTCGAGGATAGCCCTCGACGCATGCCATGGAAGTGATGAAATTGCATTGGTTGGACTGCAGTTAGGTATGCTGAATGAGCAACGTGACCGGCGAAATTGAAAACTTGATCAGTTGATTTCGCACGTTTCGAAAAATATTATGCATTAGATACTATAAGCGTTGTAACAGGAACACTTCGGGTATACGTTTTCGTACTCAATAATTTTGTTTCAAATCCCGTTCAACCGCACTGCTGCATCTGGAATTTTGTATGCACCGGTATTCACTACAATGCACTACTAGACTACTGCTATATCTTCCAAGAGACCAATAGAAATAGTGTACATATGTATTATACAGAGCGATTTTCGAAATAAAATTAGTTATAGACGTACAATTAATATAAATGTTTACAAATACAAATTATTATTTACGGGAAACGACCGATCGTTTTTCTTAGCCCTCTGGTGGTATTTCTAGCCTGTTAAAGAGGTCTCTATTTACAACAGTTTCTTTTATAATATCAAACATTTATTTATGTACACGTATAATATTAGGTAAACTTCAAATGTAAAATCAATACAGAGAAGGCTTATGTTTTACAATACATAAAGAATATTTAGGAAATTAGACATTTACTTTGCACCGAAATGGATAATTCTCGATATTATGACAATCCATTTAACGATTGTCTTGACAATTCAACATTGTGTCGTCCTCTTGTAAATGAAGATACGAAGCAGGTAAAACATATGTAAATATATATATTTATTTGTATAAGTATCGATGTACGAAACTAAAGAAATTTGTATTTGTTAGGTTAATGACGATTTTAAAGAAACATTACGTACACATACAAAAAATTTGGTGGACCAGTTGATGGTGGAACAGAAAAATGTTTGGACAAGGAAAGATGACTATTCTATGTACACAGGATCAGCTGGGATTGCATACATGCTTTATCATTATGGAAAGTGTGTTAATGAACCTTCTTACATTGATGTAAGTAACTTTAGCTATTTTTATATCGATACAAAATAATTTTTTATTGAATATAAATTTTGCACAGAAAGCTGCAGAATTATTAAAAGTGTGCATAAGTAAGTTTAGAGGTAGAAGGGAGATTACATTCCTAACTGGCATTGCGGGTCCATTAGCCTTAAACGCTGTTATTCTCCATACTCAAGGCAATGTAGAGGAATCACGGAATATGATATCTAAGTATATTTATATATACATATACATATATAATTAATTAGTGTTTCGTAATATTTACATAGAAATATATTGATTTGTATTGTACTATAGACTAAAGTCATTTTCACCGTACATGCTGGAGGATGTCACCTTGCCTGATGAATTGCTTTATGGAAGGGCTGGCTATCTATTTTCTCTTCTATTTTTAAATTCAAATATATCTCCACCACCTGTAGAGGGTGAGCTTATTAAGCAGGTACATTCTGTAACAGTTAAAATAAAAATTAAAACATGGACAGTATGTACTTCATTATAGAATCAGTCGTGGTTATTAAAAAATATTTTCTTAGGTCATTGCGGTTATTATTCACTCTGGACATACATATTCCACATCAACAACATACAAAACACCTATAATGTATGCCTGGCATGATTCAGAATACCTTGGCGCTGCACACGGATTGGCTGGAATCCTATATCTATTATTGCAAGTACGCTTGATTTACCAATTTAATTTTTATTTTGAAAAATATACCAGAAAATAATTTTTCGAAATGTTTTAATCTACATATTTTGTAGGCACGACAGTACTTAACATCGAGCCAATTGGAACTGGAGATAAAACCGGCATTACAATTTCTCCAGAGCTTACAGTACCCGTCTTGGAACTTTCCATCTTCCATTGGAAGTCGTACAGACAAATTAGTACACTGGTGCCACGGAGCACCCGGAATGTCTATGTTGTTTTGTTTAGCTTACGAGGTTATTGCTATTATATTTATATAATACTGTCAATAGAATTAAATTCCTTCGATACGACGATATCTGTGTTTAAACAGATATATCAGGATGATCAGTATCTGAATACTGCTCTACAATGCGGAGAAGTGGTTTATTCCCGAGGATTGCTTAAAAAGGGATGCGGAATATGTCACGGAGTAGCTGGGAATGCTTATACATTCTTATCTCTCTTTCAGCAGACAAAAGTTAGATGACATTCATAGTAAGGTTATGTCAAGGTTGATATAAATACTAACGGAATATCAAATCCTTTAGGATGTCAAACACTTGGATAGGGCTTGTAAGTTTGCTTTCTGGTGCATGGATCATGGAAAACATCAAATGAAACTTGCCGATCGACCATTTTCATTATTCGAAGGTAGTTATTCTTATTATCGCGAATATTTTCTTTGAATTAATAATACGTACATGTATTATTCTAGGTATAGCTGGGACCATTTACTTTTTAATCGATATGCAAAATCCGCTTTCAGCTAAATTCCCAGGATACACGGTGTAGAATATAGATATTCTAGCGATTAATACCTATTTTCCATAATTTTTCAGCCAACAAAATATTTCATGTAATTCAATGTATACTTCCCTGATAAACAATAAATGACAAAATTGACAAGTTGCATGTTATTAGAAAATAAACCATTACCATTATTCGAAAAAAAGTTTAGCGCTTGTGTATTTGCACTTCCCCCCCCCCCTTCTTTTTAAGTAGTTACTAGTTAATTGCGTGCTGCTGATTTCGAGAACATTTTCGCATAGATATGCATCGTTGGTGCTTAATTCAATTTCTCAATGCCAAAAAACCGATCTAAATGCAAATTGGAATATTTGCACGCGTACGGTGTATTTTTTCGCTGCAAATGAACTACCGGTTGAAGCGTGCTACCATTTCCTAGTGAAATTGATCCCTGACGCGAGACAGAAATTACGAGTACATTTTCAGAGATTTTTCGGTTACAATATTACGCCAGTTCGCTGTGCTATTTATATTTGACCATTTAATGGCAGTTTATTCGAATTAAAAAACACTTACTCGAAACCTATACCCTTATTACATATTTAATTCTCAGCGCTAAGGGAATAACGGATTGATTGGGTTTCCATACCTTCCATAGAGAAGTTGAATTAGATGTAATTTCCACAGGATAATCGTTAAAGATTATTCATCTAAATTATTTAGATAACAAGTGCGAGTTAAGACGTGTGCAAATACAGTAACCACGCGACAGTTACCGAACTGACGAGTATGTTTATTCAACGAGTAATATAGTTGCTTATAATTTTTTGCCTATCCCCGAACAATGGTGAGCGATTCGGCGCAACAGAATGCGGCTCGGATAAAGACGTGAAATAAATAAATAAATACAAAAAATAAATAAAGAACGGTCTACCGTGCAGCTTTCGCGTCGGGTTTATTGACGTTTCAAAAATCGAAGCTCCACGCGCAACGTGGAAAGCTCTGATTACTCTCATTGGTGTTTAATTTTATCGCGCGTGCTGACGTTTTCAATTAATGAATGCTCGATCTGCGGACCCGAATTACAAATTTTATAATTCGTTCGACGCGGGGCGCGGTAACGACGTCATAAATTGTCCGATTTTCGATAACTCGGCCGTGCATGCGCCGCGAATAACGTAATCGAGTAGACGTCGTTTTTAAATCCATTACATGCAATTTCGAATCGCTCACAGTATTCTACAATAATGGATTCCGTAATAATACTTTTGTTTCGTGCGCTGTTTATAAATTAATTTAAATAAATTCGTTTTAAACGTCAATTTGGCGAATTCATTTGAAACGTTTACAGAGCCCCTGGCGATCGTAGAACAAACAGCCGAAAACTAAATTAAATAATGGTTTGTTTGCGACAGCAAACTAATTATAGTCGTCCTCGTTACTTTCAACGTTACGAAGAAATTTCTCCCGATATAATTTTGTACAGTTGCCTTTCTTCGACGGCCGACTTCAAGGAAAGTTATATTTAAGTAGTTCATGCTGGTGCTAGCAAATCTCCGCGCGTCGACGCAGTTGCAGCACAACCAGACTTATTGCTGCTCGACGCTAATTACTTTGAGAGGTATTTTCCTATTTTCGAACGTTTTACGGAACGGCGAATAAAGAACCGACATAAAATTTTAAATAAATTGTTGAGTTATTTCCTACTCGAAGGAAATGAAATTCTACGTGAAAAAGTTCAATCAACTTCTTCTCTGCCTTCTTCAACGAAGTTTTGTATAGAGTGGGGAAGTCTCGCGACATATCCGTCTTTGTTAACTTTTAAGTGCAATCCCCTCGCTGTATTTCTGGGTGCTCCTCTTCGTCCACGAGCTCGACGCCGTAACCGACGCCCTATAGAGAGACGTTCTCCACCGAAGCTCGGTGATAATTCGATTTTCTTGCCGGCACGGCGGGTGATTGTCGCACAAACGAGGGACATCCGAGCGAGCGCGGCGTTAAAACGGTTCAACGACATTCTCTCAGTCACGGTGCCCGCAAAAATTCCACAAAGAACCGCGAACGCAACACGCGCTTCGAAGAAGCGTATTATCCCACTTCGGCATTCGTCCCACACTTTTCTAACGCTCGTCCCGTTTTTCTTTCCTCTTCTTTTATTAACCCCGGTTTAACGAGGTTATTAAATCATAGCGTTGAAATATTTCGAGGTGAATACGATAATTAGCAGTCATTAATTCAACCGTTCCCCGTCGGTGTTTTAATTGAGACAGATGCGGTGAAAGTTATATCGCCGGAACGATGAGCGCCCGATTCCAGGAACGATAAACCCGCCGCGCGTGAAAACACGAGTGATAATTCTCATTACCATTTTTACCCTCGTTACAGGCGTTCGATTCGGAACAATTCCGCAATTAACCCTTTGCGTTCAGCGAACGCAGACCTCTTGAAAATAACGAGGGTACGAGTAATACAGGGCATCTTTAAAGAAAACTCGTATTTATTTCCTTGGAGTCAATTCCCAAAGGAGAGTTCATGTCGGAGCAATTTTCTCCCTTAAAAAGCGCGAAAGTTTCTGCGGGGTCCGCGACGTATTGTCAACAATCCGAAACCCGACTGTTTGAGTCGCCAACGAAACACCATTGTCGAGTTAATTCGTCGAGTTTCGTAACATCTTTAGCGACGCGACCTTTCTGGAACGGTTACGCAAGTTCGCGATACAAAGCTGTCCTCTAGGCTTAGGGGTGGCCCGTTCGGGAGACAGTTACTAACTGGGTTTACGAGGTCTGGTAATTTTAAGAGATTCAATCCGCTGGCAGTTGGCCACCGGACGCGAAAATCTCGTTCGCTTAACCGTCACGAAATGAAATCCGAGCGAATCTAATAAACCTCGGCCCGGGACGCGTCTCGGGGGTTGCTCATTCCAGATTTCTTCGGTTCCCGCTACACTTCCCGGTCAGGCCGACCGCGAGGGAGCCGCGGTTGCGTCGACGTGCAACTTTCTCAAAGGATTAAGCCGTATAATTCCCGACGCCTCGATTTACAGTCGGTTTCGTTGAAAGTGTTCGCGTTTGTTCGATGCACGAACGCGGCGCTTTCGCTCTCGGTGGATCGCAGGCAAAGCGAACAATAGCGGGGCTGCCTTTTAGACCCGCGCGATGTTTTTACCGGCCGTGGAAAACTCGCGCCGTGTCAGGGTAGGGTTACCATCCCTGAATCGCGAGAAAAGAGTACGCGAATCCAGTGGAGCACTCGAAGATTTACCAAGGGGCGCAATTAAAAATTAACGGACACGAGTACGCCGCGATGCTTGCCGACACTTTAGAAAACTTTGTATGACCAGGTAGAAGAAAAGTTTGTTTCACCTTTTTATGGAACGTTAGCGGGGAAGCGGAGTTGGCGAGTTTCAATCGCGCGATTCGAGTAATTCCTATCCGAAACCGTAATGTGCCGCTTTCGAATTTCTCGATGGTGAATGGGTCGGTATTGTAAGCATCGTCGGGTTGAAAAATAAAAGATCCGACGGGCGAAAGCGATCTCCAGTGTCACGCGATTCGAAGGACGCTCCAGATGGCATTTTACTCGATTTTGGTCGTACCGAAATGTCGAAGGTGCATCGTAACACGTTTCGTTACAAGGTAACGGCTTTGATATGCAAATTCTTGGGGGGAACGCCGCCGAAGTTATTTACCCATGCCGCGAGAATTCGTGTTCTTCGATAATTCACACGTGCTCCAAGATTCTTCTACTGCAGGTATGTCGAATTCACCGGAAGGTCTATTCACGCTTTGCTACCTTCTTGTTAAATTATCTGACAACGATCGAAAACATTTTAACGACCATTTTTTTCATTCGTATCGAAAGCGATCCGAACCCAAGAGGTCTAGCATATAAGATAAAAAAATGTTCGGAGTTGTATTTTTGAAATATATTCGTAAGTGTGCAAATCGATCTTTATCGCGGCTAAAATTCCAGGATTTCCCTTTAAATCTTCCGTCCAACATCGAGGATACCTCGGTAGGATTTTAAATCACCCGACGGGTGATTCGTCCTTGCATTCATTAAGAGACTCGGTAACATCGTAATCGTTAACGAAGCGATGCGATTCCGGGGAAGGAAACCTTCGTGGAGTCTTCTTGGTATTCCTCGCCATTTTTCCGGCCTTCTTCGTGAAACTCAGTTCCAAACAAACCATAGGAAATATACGTTATGTCGTATCCCTGTGTTAATGGGACAACGGCTCGTGAATGTCCGTCAAACGGCGTAATCGTCTAAACAACAGGTGTTCGCGCCGCGTCGTTAAAACATGTTTTAGCGAACGGTACTTTCGCGAGTTTATAGTATCGCGTATGTGTTGTTGGCAATATCGCAACGTTTATTTATCGACAAAGCGACTGGAACTACTCCTTTTCGCTAACGTTAACTCCACTCAGCAAAAGTTCTCGTATGACACACTCGAGGTAAAAGAAATATATGCATTTTAGCGTCCCGTCGACTTTACATAATGTTGCCATTCGAATCACGCAACGGGCTGTAGTCGACTCGGTGCTGGATGCATTGGCGTCGCCAGAGGGGCGCAGACCACACCGAAGGCGAAGGGGTTGACGACGAACCAATCGCCTGTAGAATTTTTCTGCCTGTAGAATGTTCGTTCCTGTTCGCATTTCCTTTCTTGAGTAGCTTTCGAACCGTTTCACCCTCTAGTTAAGAGAGCTATCTTTCAAATTAATAAATCCATGTACACGTTGATATCGAAACGAATAATATTCATCATCGATTAACGTTGTTCTTTATAACACACGAGTACTTGGATACGGTTCCGATTATTTTGTCTACTATAAAATACTATAACAGCGCGTTACATTTGTTCCCAAGTTTCTGGAGCCGCTTCTACGACGTTAACGGTGGCGACGCCATTGTCTAGATGCCAGGGATTTTTGGGCGATAAAGAGGGAGCATGTAGGGATTAATACCAGTGATACGTAACGCAAATCTCTCGCGACGATTCACTTTGTACTCCTAATCAGTCCACCTGCGAATGCGCAGCTGAACAAGTCCACGGCGCTCGGATATGGTAAATTAGGGTCGATGCACACGTTATGGCGTCTCGTCTCCCTCCGCGCGGATCGTTTCGCGTTTTGCTCGTGTTACACGATTCTGTGGCAGAG